CTTATTTGCCAGGTTACAAAATACCTATGCATCCCTGATAGCAGGAATCCAATTCTAGATTTCAGAGAGAAATACTTGTTATAATCTAACAAGACTTTTTTAAAATGTTATTGAAATAATTATATACAATATTTACGTGGATTTCAAATATACAACATAGTGATCCAACAGTTACCCACAGTTATTATTAAATTGTCACTCCAAAGAGCACAGTTACTATGTCAACAGACAGAGATATTACAGAATCACTGGCTGCATTCTCCATGCTGCACCTCCCTGTGGCCGACTTACATTCTGACTGAGATGTCGGTACCCCTATCCCCTCCCCCTCCCACCCCCAGCCCCCCAATGGTGACCACCAGTCCCTCTCAGTGTCTGTGCATCTGCTGCTTTGTTCATTTTGTTCTGTTTTGTTTTTAGACTCCACATATAAATACTAAAAGGACATTAATGGGATCCAAATTTTTTCCCCAAGGAAATTCAAAACAAGATATTTTTTAAGTTTCAGAAACTGTCTTCTGACATTTTGATCCTGAAAGCCACAACATTTTTAAAGGAAAATTTTTATTTTACTCAAAGATAAGCAATTCAAATACTTAGAATCCAGAATATTTACCCATTATTTAATTAACCTGTAATATATGTATAACATAATTATTATTTAATTTTCACTAACATATTTATCACAAAAAAACTGCCTATTTTTAGCAGTGAAGTGAGACTTAAAATTCTTCAAAGTTTATTATAATTAAGCATGATTGTACAAAAAAGTATGTATAAATATATCTGTATATATATATGTTGTAGGTTAATATTTGTATGCAAGTTAGCCACTAAATTGCAATTATTTTTTCCCTGTTTATCAAAAATGGCCTGACCAATTGAAGCATATCAAAACATTTTTTAGAATACAAATATTATGCAGAAAGGAGATTTTCAAATCTGGCAAATGAATTGTGCATTTCTAAATGCTAATAGAATTATCAAGTACATCTTCTAATTAGGAAGTTGCCTTGAATATATTCTTTAAAAGTCTACCGTGGGTAGAAGTTGAAGTGAATGTTGACTTAACTCACAAATCCTTCTCCTTCTTCCATTTCTAGACGTTACTCCACAGGATGCTGGCACACAGAACACCGTCTGTTAAGGTCTCAATGCATAAATAAGACACTCTTTGATACATCGATGATGCACCAAATGCTCAAAACAACTCATGTCTTCCATAACCACAGGGAGACAAAAATGGGGAGAAAGTTTATCTCTGTTTTATACAGGGTCTAGCAAAGACACTGTCATACTTGTCTGGGCTGTAATTACAGAGGATTCCTAAAGCCATGTGTTACTTCAAATTCTTTACCTTGATATCTTAATCATTTAGGGTTAAAAAAACAGAACATTTTAATTTAACTCTTAAAATTTCGTATTGTCCATATTTTACAAATATTAAACTGGACTTTCGGCTAATGGTAAAATTACGAGTTTCTCCTACATATTCTCCAAAGACTTCAAACACATCAAACCCATGGCTGCAGAGAGAGGAACTTAACTGTCAAGTCAAAATAAAATAATGCTCTAGACCTATATGGTCTAATAAAGTAGGCACCAGCCACATGTGGCTATTTAAACTTAAATTAACATTAATTAAATTAACATTAGTTTCTCCCTGCACTGGTTATGTTTCAAGTACTCAACAGCTACAGCACCAACACAGAACATGGCCTTTATCTCAGAAAGTCGAGTGAGTAGCTATCTTTGTCTTCTCTCCTTCTAAACCTCTCCTCGCTGGGTCTCTCCAGTCTCCATCTTACTGGATTCTTGCCCAGACTCTATTCTCCTCCTAAACCAGCTGCCCTAACCAGGGGAAGTGAAGGCCACACGGGGCGTTTGTAACGTCCAAAGTCATGTTTGCTTGTCACAATCGGGAGGACAGGTTTTAATGCTGGTTTTTCATGGGTGGAGGCAGCAAAGCTATTAAACATTCTACAGTCCACAGGAGCCCCCCAACCATAACCAAGAATGAAGTGGCCCCAGGCTGAGAACTCCTGGACTATGGACCTCTAGACTGAAGCTGCGTTTGGACTACCCACCAGACTGGATTTGTTATCTCACAAGCCCTTCCGCCTGACTATTCCCAAAGACAAACAAACCCCATCCATGAGAGAGCAACATGCTTCCAGGAGCAATGCAGGCCTAACCCTAAGTCCCCACTGATGTGAGAAAGAGACACAAACTGTAAGTTTTACTGATATGAATTCTCATTTTACAGAGACAGGGGTTTTCCAGCACTGGTTACATGAGCCGTAAGCAAAAGTGAATGGTACCATGCATACTTCCATTCCTACAGATGAAGTTACTTGATGGAGGGACCATATCTGCCCTCCTCACTGTTACATATACATCTGCCAGCAGACAGAAAGCTCTAAGAGAAAAGCAAGATACAGAATAGTGTAAATGCCTATTTTTATAAAACAATGGTGGCAAAATATTCTGTGAGAGAAAGAGAGAGAGAGAGAGAGAGAGAGTGTGTGTGTGTGTGTGTGTAAAGAAATATAAAAATAAGGAATGACAACATGGGTTTCCTAGGAGAGGGATACTGCCAAGGGACAGGAGAACAGGGGGCACAAAAACATGTAAACCTAGGTGGTAAACTATGATTGTGGTGAAAACTGAATCACTTAATAATGGAGCTTTAAGAACTGTCTCAAATGGAGTAACTGAAAGAAAAATCAAAAGCCTAAGAAGATCTACAGTTAGTATGGCAATTAGATTCTAGAAGAGAAACAGTTAATATATAAGAAAAATAATATTCATAGTGGCAAGTCCTCTGAAGACTACTAAGATCTAGGTAATAGAAAGGGGGAGAGAGCTCTGAGCTCAGCAATGATGTCAGGGCTCAGAGAAGTAAATTTGGGACAGCTCAGGGACAGATGACGGTGAGAGCACTCAATGCAGCATGATCACCTGGAACGAGAGCAAAGGACACGTTAAGGGGTGCCCCCAAGAGCACGCCAACATCCAGTGGGGAGGACACGGAACAGGGAGGAGTAGAGGTGGCAGAGAAAGCAGGCAACAGGTGCCATGTCCTCTGGGCCAGTGAGGACAGAGACAAGGACCAAGGTCCCACGGATGAAGCAGATGGCGTGCAGGCTGCCGGCCACAGTCACAGCCGGCTGAAGCGCAGCGGGCAGGGAGGACGAAGGCCTGTGATGAGGCCACAAGGAGGAGGAGCAGGTGGAGCAGGAGAAACTCTCCCGATGAGCCTCACTGTGAGGTGTGGTGCCGGGGTGGTGCAGAGAAACAGGGCAACGGATAGAGGAGCACAGTGGGGCCAATACTGGCTTTCTGAGGAGGATATTTATTATATCATGTTTGTATACTGATACTTTTAAAGAAGGGTCTGCAAGAGAAAACTCAACAAGAAAGTGAAGAGAAGGCATAAAGGGAGGCTTGGGCTTAGGTCAGAGCAGGAACCAGGCATGTCTGTATCCTGGAGGCACCTGCCACATGTGAGAGGAAGTGCGTTCTCATTAGAGAGAGTAATATCTGAAGATATTCCACACTGCAACTTTAATCAAGAAAACCATAACTCTGCGTTATGAGAGATGTACTTGTGTTTGTTACATTTTCCAAATTCACAGACTAAAAAAGATGATGGCATAAAAGGCAAAATCCCTGAACAAATACTAGCAGAGTAAGATGCACGTGTGTGGATGAGTGTATCTACAGACATCTCAGTTATTCTCTGATCCCTGTGCTATACAACTTCTGTTAAAAAACCGAAATCTGAACATGTCTACTCACATTTTAGAAGAAAAAAGATAACTTGTATCTAAGCCAGAACAACTTCATTCTTAGAACTTTCCCAAATAAAGTTTCTAATCCAACAGCTATTTTTCCTGCAGCAAGTAAGATGCGGTTTTAAAATGGCTGGTCAACGCACCCATTAACATGCCAGGAAGGACACCAACACCTTTAGACTCACCTGAGGTGTGAGAAAGAAAAACACTTCTGCCTTTTCCATACTTCTTGTAGGCTTAAAACTAGAGATTTTTTAAACCTTGACAACATAAGCAGAACACAAACAGTAGCTAGCTAGAAAGGCATCAATCTTTTGCACCTAGTTTTTAATAGCAAGTATCAGAAAGCAAGAAAAGATTTTTATTTCCCTATCTACAGATGGAGGCACAAAAACTATATAGCCAAACAGTTCATGTGAACTTGCTAATTACCAGAATAATAAACTAATACTGAATACAAATGGCCGATTTCTTTCTATTTATAACCCTTAATTTTCATCTATCATTACCTAAATAAGGCAATTTCACTTGTATACATAATTTTATATTTATAAGACAAAAATCTACAGTTTTTAAATATCTCTGAAAATATTAGACCTAAAACATTAACTTCCAAGTCTACTTTTTCTACATACCCTTTTTCTTCCCATCAAGAGCAACAGGACAGTCCGGGGTCTCCAGCGGGCCCAGGAGTAAGAGATCATGATTCTTTCCCCTACTGCTGAATAAAGTAACTCAAAATTCCAGCCAAATTCTTCTCATGCAGCAAAATCACTCTGTCCTTTTATATCAATTGTGTTTAGTTACAACTTTGTCTTTTAGTAAAAAAAAAAATCCAAATCACTGTTTCAATCATTTTTAAATTCTGCATTCGGTCAGAGGTTCCATGGCCCATGTGACCAAAGCTGGAAAACATCACAGAAACCTGAACTACACTGACACATGCTTTGCAAGTTCAGGGAGCAAAATATGGGGCAGCTTGGTTTATAACTAACACCTGCTTATACTTCAGTCTACCACCTTCGTCTTGAACAAACTACTTGAATTCAAAAATGATGTAGTGGGAAATGTAACCTGGGTACACAGAAAAATCCCCCAGAGAAACAGATAAAAAGGCAACACGAGTATGAAACTGCTGATGTTGAACTGGATTCTGACCCAGGTTCTTGCGATTGGCTTACTTGCCCGGTCCAAAAGGCTTACCATCTTGCTGGCCGGGGAGAGCCTGGGGACTCTGAATCCGTTCCTCGAGATTGGAGCTGAGGTCAGAGTTCACAGCTGACATTCGTGTTGAATCACTCATATCGAATTCATCACTTTCTATTGAACTTTCATCCTGAAAATGGTTTTAAAATATCATCAAGCATCACAAAATACAATACATTCAAACAGTGACCATTCTATCTATAGGGTCAACTAGAGTTCACCCAGGAAATAAGCTTTCACAGAACTCAGTGAAATGTGTTACACATTAATAGATATTTAAAATAAGAAATAATGTAATAATTTCTCCCTTCACAGAATTTCAAGACTTGTGAGGATTCAAACATGTATTCAAGTATAGGCAGATTTAAAAGGGAACATAATGGTTTAGTGAGAATGTAGTTGGGGAATTATCCTGAATAAGGAAAAGAATGGGCTTTTTTTAATTAGTAAAAAAACCTCCTAAACGAGTCAATCACAAAACATAGCATAAAGATAAATACATGTTTTGATTTTAAAAATACATGACCTAATAAATGATTATAGGCAAACATCTTAGAGTACAATAAGAAAACCTTAACCAAAACATTTTCACTGACAAACAGGATGGATTCTAGTAACAGAGAGCCTTCCATGACTAGATTCAAAGTCTACCTGTGCTGGAGAGCAAAGTAATTTTAGGACATCCTTTCTTTCCTCATAAGTGAGCAAAAATTACACTACAGCCACACAAGGAGCTCTAGGTAAAAGTGTGCAAGATGCATTTACCACAAGCCAGATCACCAGAACACCCGTGTGCCAAAGGCTGATTCATCAAAACCTGTCAAATAGCAGCTTAAGCCAAGCCTTATTTTGCTGTAGTCACTTCACTGAAGCAAATTCCTTTTGGAAAACTGTTTTTTTTGGATAAATGGTGTGCTTACATAGGCAGGAAGATCTGAGAAATCTGTGTAAAATATTGTATGTATTTAATCAAAACCTTCAGGTTCGACTTTAATTTGTAAACGTTTGATCAAAGTTTCAAACATAAAAATAAACTGCCGCTTCTCCCGCCGACATTGCTGTTTGTATCTATTTGCTCACTCCCTTCACCTTCCTCACCACCTGTAAGTCAGGTTCCGGGACCCTGCTGGTCCCACTTGCGGAGACACCGAGGTCGCACCAGAGCTGGGATTCATCTGATGTCACCCAGGCTCAAGGGAGGAGCTTCTCTGAACAGGAAGAATTAACTGGAAAAATAAGTTACTTTCTCTCAGCAAAGAAGCTGCTCCCCCGTTAGGGGACAGGAACATCCCGGCAGCCTAAGCAGTCGGCATTCTGATGAGCAGGCCAGGCCAAGGTGGCTCTGGCGCCCCTCCTTCAACAAAGGCCTGATCATGGGTGCGTATGCTGAGTAAGAGGCTCATCATCCATTCAGCAAGTAAGTGCTGCCCTGTGAGGCCCCTGGGCAATCAGCCCCTTGGCTTCTGCCAGGACACGCCCTGCTCTCTGAATGTCATGTTTCCTCCAAGTCTAAATTCTAAGAAAATCCAAAGCATCTGACAAGGGTGTGTTAAAAAGAGAAAATAGAGTGAAACTCTATGGGCCATTGATGGGATCAATGTGCACCATTACATACACATACACACCTGCGTTTGTGGACATAGCTGGATGACATACTGTTAACACACACTGTGTCTGGTGCCTGTGACATCACGCACTTCACTTCAGAGCACGTTCTCTGTAGCCACGCCCATGTCAGGCCCACCCATGCCACCTGTTAGCTGTGCTCACTTAAGCAAGTTGCCTGACCTTCCTGTGCCTTAATGCCCTCATCTATAAAATAGGGATAATAATATTATCAATCTCATAGGGCTGTATAAGGATTGAGGAGGAATAATGTACTTAAAGTAATTAGAATGTCAGATACATAAGCAGCACAAAACATATGGTAATGAATATATAATAAATTCTACAATATATCATTATTCCTATTTATTATAGGAACACATACAAAAAATAAATTTAAATAAAATGATTAACAAGACTAACAGGTGTTTATAAGGTAGCTGTGTATTCCACATAAACATAGTCTTTATTATAAGCATTTTAATATATATCACAAATAGCTAACTATTGTAATCAAGTAAAATACTGTTCCCATTATATATATATATATATATATATACACATATCTATATGTGTGTCCGTACATGTGTAAAATGCATGAGTGTGAAAATTGTGTGTGTATGGTGTTAAAGAAAAGCTATATACAGAGAGCCAAGTCACAGCGTTTGTTCCATGGAATGGTATATAAACTGCTCTTGCACATTATGGATAATCAATATAGTTGATCACTAGCAAATGACACTCTTGTCAGCATACTTTTTAAGAAATGTGGACAAGAGATTAAAGTGGTTATATAACTAAATGAACCTGTTCTGTACTCTTATTTTTTTAAATCTCTATTTTAAAGTATTTATCATGATACGTGGCTTGATGATTGTCACTATTTTAAATATTTTCCTCCATGATTTCTTATGAAATATAATTCACTTTTCACAATTCTACTCCTTATTACAATATGAAATATCCCATTGCTTACATTTATAAAGGCTTTAATGAAACTAAGTGCATGCATTCATTCTGTAAGTCCTGGTTTAATTAGTAACTGATTAAATTATTATCTTTTAATAAAAGGTGGCAGAAGTATATAAAATATGATATTGTACCAACACGAGATAACATTGATCTCTCTAGGAAGAAATCACTGAAGATTTCTAAGGGTGCAGACTTAGAAAGCTTGATTGACATGGTAATAAATGTTTTATTTTTATTATGATAGGCTATTCATCTCAATTTTTCCCCCATGTTTTGTCTTGCATGACAACCAGAAAATGGTTTGCACATCCTACAATGTGAGCGGATTCCTTTGTTACTAAAATCTCAGTATAAAGTCATGACCAACCACTATAGAATTCTGCTTCCTTGAAACTTAATTTTTAAAAATAAGAACAAAGATTTTAACAAATGTTCTTCTTCTCAGACTTTTCCCTTTTAAAAATGTCTTATTATTTTTAAGAACTTTATCATTGAGCTTTTATTTCTATTTTGAGAAGTTGCTTGAAATTCAGATCCCTGATCTATTCCAAACTTCATTTTAGCTTTCAAGCTGCAGATTTTACCTCTTGATTTTCACTGCTATTGTCCTGATTGATTCAAGATCTCATGTTTCCATTTCCTGAACAACATGGTAATAGTGTCCTAGTTACTTACCTGCCTCCAAATTCTTCCCCACTAGTCCTGTTCACCTACTGCCCACTGAAACTTTCCATCTCAGAACTCTCTATTTCTCCACACACCCAAGTCGTCTCAAGGGTACCAAGTGCATGTAAGCTACTAAATAAACACTGAGGATTTTCCCGCAAGACTGAAAACCACTCCTGAGAATCTCATCTTGTTCTGGTTTGCACTTACCTGATACTCAAACTAATTTGAAGCTTATTTTATTTACTTTTCTGTGAAATACACCACCTCAAACCTTAGTGTGCATCCGTGTAGATCTTGTTAAAAATTCAGATCTAGAATAGGGATGGGAGTCCACGGGGTCTCCAGGTTACTTAACTCAGCCAGCGCTGAGGGAGAAAACATTCGCAGTGACAGAGCTGCCCCATAACACTCCCTACTGCACGAAGTGACTGCTGGCCATGCTGAGCTACTGAGCACTTGAAATGTGACTAGTGTGGTTGAAGAATTGAAATTTTAATTTAATTTAAATTAGTTTCAATTAAAGTTAAATACCCACATGTAGCTAGTGGCTACCACATTGGATGGTGCAGATTTGACAATTTTTTGTTGAATTTTTGAAATGACTGCCAATCATTCACTATTAGCAATGCAGTAAACATCCTAATGCATGAATTGTTTCATACATCATATTCCTTAGTATAAATTTGTAGTTAAAGCACATAAATAACTTTTACAAGTTTTTAATAATTACTGCCAAACACCCCCAAAGAAAATTTGTTCTGGTTTAAACTTATCATCAGTTTATAAGAGGGCAAATTGATCGTGCATTGGCGAGAATATTTTGTAAAACTAAAGGGATTCCCTTTCCTGGCCTTCTTTATTTTTCTTAATATCATTTAGCAGCTTCTTATATACATACTTTCATTATTTACTTCCTTATTGTCACCCCCCCCCCACTAAAAAGTAAGCTCAATGGGGCAAAACTTTTGTCAATTTATTCATTGCTTGTCTCCATTGTCTACAAGGTGCCAGTCACATAGAAGGTGCTCAATAAATACTGGCCACAGTCGCTGCATCAACACTAATTGAAATCTAGATATAACTGATAACAAAGGAACATCACACTTGACTTCCATTTTAATGTGATTTTACTTAACTACCTTCCTATTTTCCAATAATCACAATTTCTATTTTTAAAGCAGTGTACATCCAACTTAGTATTTTCAAAATGTAAGGATAACAGGTATTTTCCTAATCTAGTTAGAAATCTAAAAGGATCTATTTCCTTTGTGTGATTTTTTTAGAAGCCAGAAGGACTCAGCATATGGGGCCATATCATTGCCACAAAATTGATCTTAACTTTTTGGCCTAGAAATAAATGTATCAACATCTAAATGTGCTTCCTACAAATAATTTGACAGCTCTTACTAGTTTATAAGGACTTTTTAAAGTTTTTCTTTCAATTTATATAATGAATCATGGAAATATTTTTTCATTCTTAGGGACATAGACATTAATATTTTCTTAATGGTCTTTCACATCAGTGACATAATTACTATTGTTTTAGTCATTGCCATCTGGTAATATGGAATCTAATACTACCACGGCAGTAATATAGATCCCCTTATAGAGTGCACCCTTATCAAGTTTCTGATATAGAACTATGTTATAAACATAGTTTTGAGATCAAACCTGCTCAAATAGGAAAACAGAAAATAGGATTTCAGCTTTATAGAGTTGGTTCAAAAAATAATTTTTAAAAAATTCAGTACTTCACCAAATATTAGTATATTTGAAAAATAAATATTTAACCATATTTCCTGCTTTAAAGAAATGTCAAGAAAAAATTTATTAGCCTGCAAAACTATTCCTAATATAGATCATCTGAATATGTATATTGATTAATGGCTAATACCTAGTTAATAAGGATTTATTAAGCCCCTATTGTTACCAGTCTTTTGGGGAATATATATGGGTACATATATAACTTGGCCCCTGCCTTTGAGATACTTGAACCAATCTGGGAAGTTAATTAATATCCTAGATAAGAACATTCAACAAATGTGCACTTTGTGTCTACACAGCAGGCACAGGGCTAGATTCTTACTATATGAATTAAGTAGAATAACTTGAAACATCAAAACACCACTAACTATAAAGAACCAGAAACTGTCTCTAGAAAATGCAGAGAAGTACAAAAATATATAGAATGATGATTCACTGACAAAGAACTTTAAAATGAAGGCATGATTCGGACAGTGGAGACACCACCACATGGAAATGCCTGACATTCGGGCACACAGCTCTAGCGCTAATGCCAGAACCTCCCTCGGTCCTGCCCGTGCAGGGCGCTCTCTCCGGAGCTCTCCAGTGCTTCACCGAGCAGCCTGCTGGTGGCCACTGCGGGACAGCGGGCGGGGATGGCCGCCCCCTCCCGGGGCCTGGAACGCGCGCCTGTCGGACCCCTGCAGCCTTGGAGGCTCAGCCCCAGCGCCGCAGGCGCCCCGGGCCCAGCGTGAGCTCATGCGGCCCTACCTCGTCTCGCCGGGAGCCGAGCAGCCGCAGCTTCATGTGCTTCATGTAGGCCATGGTGATGGGCATGTTGTAGTCGATCACGCTGGGCGCTAGCACAGCGGGCTTCCCGTTATCTGCAATTAAACATTTGATGGGAGGTGACCGGGAGGCGGCATTCTACCTGCAACTAATGGTTTGGTTTGTTCAGACTGAACTACGGTTCTAGACACCAGGTGTTCAGGAGACCGGGGGCATTACAGGCGGACTGTGGAACACCAACTGGTGTGGCCCCACAAAGGTGTACTGGGACGCCCGGCCCCACGGTTGGACGAGGCGCCTCTGACCACGGGGAGGTGCCCCGCCTCCCGCTGACACCGATGTACTCTTGGTCCCCTCATTGCGCTCCTCTGCTGCGCACGTGCCCCCTGTCCTGCCCAAACTCGAGAGGGGGCTGCTTGCTTTCTTTTTCTTTTGCCAGTCCTCTCATCCTACAGCATTGGGGCAGTTTAGCCAAAAGTGACTTTGAGATTGATTTACTCTCTGAGAGAAATTAATAGATTAGGAAAAGAATCTAGATAAATTTTAATCAATGTTAAAGTCAAATCACAATTTTATGTACCAATTCTCAATTGAAGTAACTCCACATGACTCCACCCTTTTAGAAATAGAGGATGTGTGGATTTAAAAGGACATTGAGGGAACATCCATTTCCTTGCTGAATGCCTAAAATACCATGAAACATGCATGCTAAATGAAAATCAAAATATTATTACAGGAAAAAAGTTCATTGCTGCAGTTGAAATAATCTTTCTTTGAGAGCAGGCACTGAATCACTCTAAGTGGACATCCAAAGCTCACCGCCTCCCCCCACCCTCGATACAGTGGTCGAACAGAAGAACTGCTTCAGTCTGCCACGTTTCATTGAAATGTGACCCACAAATTGCCATTATGAATGAAATTACTTTAAATCTCTCTATTTGACACCACAGCTACCTTTGTGATCTGTTCCATCTGGGTTTAAATGCATTCTTTTCTGGCACTCTGAGCAGCTCATTAGAAATCGTGTCACCGCTTCTCTTGGGAGGAAGGCATAGCTCTCTGAAATCTGAAATGATTCACAAAGTAAAGGGGTTATATAAGCTGACTGAGCATGATTCAGCAGAAATGGTCATTGTATCTCCAAGCAAGACGCATTATTCCATGATGGCAGGAAGCACAATGAGAGCATGCACTGCATACATGCATCATTCGAGAAATATCTATCCAGCTGGCCGCTCAGCTGCACCTGATGGAGCAGTGCAGGGGCAGCCACATCTCAAAGGGTCTGCTTATATTTGAATATTTGTTTTAGAAAACATAATCACAGTATACAGATAGTCTAGTCAATTGTCCTTATTAAAACTTGCCAACATTGTTTTTTTAAACTTACTGTTGGCACCTGTTTTATCCAATTTTACATGTATTTTTAGAAATTTAGCCCCAAGTAGAAACAATAAACTTAGGATTTTGCATCAATAAGCATTTTTTATCATTGCTTTTCAAAACATTTTAAATGAAAATAAAAAACAATTCTAAGAGAATCAATGTACATATTCACTGCAGTGAAGCATCCCTTCCACAGAAAATGACACACCTGGAAATGCATGCTGGCCACCTACTTCATCTGTTACCCGTTTTTTCTCAGTTTTCATAGTTTACATCCAAAAAAGCTAACACAGAAGTCAGAGTAAGTGGCACGTGCCCTATGCAGACCTTGTTTTCAAAATCATTACATAGAATCAAGTTAGAAATTAGTAGTCCTGTCAGTGAATTTTTAAATTATTAGCTTCTCAAAAACCAAGGCACCCGATCATTTACGTTTGCTCTCTTACAACACTAAACTATGTTTTCTACCTTTATCTTGCATCTACCTACCACTTCAGCATTTTATTAAAAATAATAATAATAATAATAAAGGGAGAAATGTGGGATCCACATATAAATCAAGTATAAAAATCAAACAAATATTCATATTTGACCTGTTGTTTATAGTTCATAATGCGTGATCAAAACCGAAAGTTTCTGTGATGACTACCCTTGTACTGTTCACCATGTAAGAACTTATTCACTATGGAAGAATTTGTTCACCATGTAAGAACTTGTTTGTTATGCTTCAGAAGATTGGAGACTGACGAGAATTAGGCTTGAGATGGATTAATGATTGTGCATTGAGCATTGACTCCCCTATACAGAATTTTGTTGTTGTTAACAACCATTTGATCAATAAATATGAGAGATGCCCTCTCAAAAAAAAAAAAACACCAAGGCATTTCTCTCATCAAAGCAACTTATTTCTGAAGTGAAACTGATAGATTGTTAAATATCTGTAGATGAAAGCTGATGCCGACTCATTGGCATGTAGAGGATGAGGCAGGGGGAATGTGCAGGTGCAAGGTGCACACTCAGGTGAACGCACAGCTGGTACAGACACTAACGTATTTTAAGTTTGTAAGAGGAAAGAAAATACCTACTTAGTGTGAAATTAACTACAAATCTACACCGATTACATGAATTGTGACGGGACCAACTTCTGATTATCCAAACTGTACAAGGAGCCCAGCACCTGAGAATCCCCATCTACTCAAAGTCCAAAATGTAAAGCTCACTTTTCCCTGAATTTAATAATAAAATCAGTTTACATCACTTATCCTGTCCCGGTGATTCTCAGGGAACAGAGCCATAAAAATACCAAAGAAAAGGAATAAATCTACAGTGAACAGCTCTATGGATGATGCATACACAGGTAATTAAAATCACTCTACTAGGATGTGAAATGTGGAACTCCAATTTTTAATATAAGCATTAATTTGTAAATTAAGATGTCCAGCTTTTTAAAAAAAAACTTCCTCATAAAAAACAGGATTGTGGGAGAAAAATGAACAGAAAAATTGGAAAATATTTTGTCAAACTCTTTTATATTAGTTATTGAATAAGGAAATATATAGATTTTAAATTCTCACTCTCTCTTATGCTCTTTCTCTCTATATACACACATACACACATACATGAATTTTAGTCCTATTCATCTATTTTACAAAGGGAAGTAACACCTTTGCCTGATTTATCAGACTAGGGATAGTTTTTCTGATACTCTGAAAATCTATTTTAAAATAAATTAGAAGTAAAAAAAATGTCTGTGATGCAGGGGTAGATGTGATGTTTTATATTTTATCTCATATGGAGTTATAGTCCATTGGAACTAATGGGGCCAACTAGTAAATTCATTAACAAATGGGATTTGAGAAGGGTGCTCCAATGATTTTCATGGAGGATTTCTATTAAATATTTTTTCTACTTATATAGAAGAGAAACCATCCAAGGAAAAGGATAACCACCCAAGGAAAAGGTAGACCTAAGGTATACTGCCTTCAACTGGCCCCGACGCTCTCCATGACTGGCTCTTTTCTCAACACTAACAAGCCCTTGGGTAGGCATCCTTTCTAGACAGAACGCACTCAGTTCCATTACTGTCCTAGCACTGCTCAGCTCCCAAATGAGGTTTTCTTGGAACCACTAAGCAAATTGCATTTTTTATAGTTTTACTCTGAACACTACTGGCAATGGTTACAGATGTTTGTGTATGTGCATATATATGTATACCTGAAGAAAGAGAAAGTGCCCCCTCGTGCCTCAGAAAGATGTTTCAGCAAGGATTGTATCCCTGTATCCTCTGTGGCATCATTCTAGCACAGCACCTGGCACGATGTACCTGTATGTTATAGGACTGGAAGAAAGCACTTACTTGGGGCAGTTTTCTTGGTGTTATGGGGCGACCTGCCAAAGCATCCCAGTGTCCTCCACTCTTCTCTCCCATCCCGGGCTCACTGGAGCCCGCGGGCCCTCAGAACAGGTTCTTCATTTCTCACACTCATTTCTGCTCAGTATTTCTCCTGCCGGAATGTTTTCTAGAACACTGCTGAGGATAACACTTCATTTGGAAATGTACTTCAAGGACTAGCTTTATACTTGGGACAGTAGAATGTATCTTATTAGAATGTGTTTATGAGCAGGGAGGCACTGCATCTTGTCAGTGCTAAGAGGCAGAGTAAGGAGAACAGGCATCACTCTGGCTCCCTCTGAACTGGAAAGACGTTGCATGTGACAGGACACACAGATTGTCTGAAACAGAAGTAAGCATCCAGAAGGACTCGGACGCAGCCATACTGAGCCTTGTGAACTAATGACCTAGCGTTACTGATCATGTAAATAATTATGAAGCATCTTTTTCTTAGAAATGTTATTTTTTATGAATCCAGATGTGTTTTCTTAGATTTGTATAATGCTTTGTATTTTTCTTTGGGTGTTTATATCTATTGTTTTAGACAATGGTTAAAACAGATTTTATGATAATTTTTTATTAAGTAAGTTGACTGGTATAAAGAGATGAAATGAACTGTTATTACTATATAATAGAGGGCAACACAAAGTGCTAGGACTCAAACCTAAATCTCTCAAATCTTGGGCTATTTCTACAAATTAATGGTGGGCTTACCCCACAGAGAGATGAGATAAATGCTTAGGGACCAAGGAAAGCAGGAACATCAAAATCGGTTTTTACAAATTCTGTATTTCAAAAATACCCATAGTATCAAAGTGCTTTCCAAGGACAAAGTCAGTCCTTAAACTTGAGTTCTGGTGGAGATATTTTGTTGTTATTTTTATTGAATTAGCTGTGGTTGAGGCAAGGAGATATAGTGGCCTAATTTAATTTTTCATTACTTACCACATCTAAAGACTTCAATTCATCTGTGTATTGAACAATACTAATATTGTTTTCAAGGTAAAGATTACATTCTAAGTCCATTAAGACTGGAATTCACCAGTAATGCAGAAAATAATAAAGCAGATTATTATCAATTAGAAGTAGAAATCACCTCTACCATCAAAAACCAAATGGTAATACTTCCCCATAAAAATAGTCGAACTGTAGTATCTTTTGATGTACTAAATAAAATCACTTCTAGAGCAAAGATAGTGTGACATTAGTAACCTAATGATAAATTGATTCACATGCAGAAGGTCTAATGCTCGAGTCTCATATGGGGGCTCTGCTACTGACCTTCCACCTGTGGGTTAACAAGAACTAAAACTACTGGGAACACATTTCTGAAAACTTTACTAACAAATATTACAATTGAAAGAAGGTTAAGCATTTTACCTTTTTAATGTCCCTATCTTTCTGAAGAAAAAAGAAGCAATATTTTTTTTAAGACTTTGCAACTATAAAGCCAACTTCTGGCAGTTTTCAGTGCTACTCGCCTTTCCCTCAACACAACTCAGTTAAGGTAAAAATGTCAGTTATCCAAGAACTGAAATTTAAAATCAACAGTAGTTAAATTACTTTTCAAATCTCAACTTGTAAATTCTATAAAATATAATTCCTAAAGTTTTATTACATTTAAATTGCAGAGTTTTACCTACAGATGTAAATCTCCTTTCCTATGCTCAGAATATTTGAAGTAATAAAAAGTTAGAAAAGGTAAAGAAATTAATCAATTAAAACAATGTAATAACAAATCATTGCTGTACTTTGTGTATATCACAAGTACATGATGCAAGTTTGTCTCATTAAAGCAAGCCACAAAGTTTTGTAAATTGAGAGCAAAATGGATAACAGAAGAATTTTTTAATTCTGGGGCTATTTGTCCTATGTCTTTCTTCCTCAGTCCCAAGCATCCTTCCTCTCCAATTTTAACTGCTTCATTTCTGGGCATTTTCAATAGAAAGGCACTTTAGATTTACTCTGCTTGTACCAAAACCTGATATTCTTTGGTTACTGAAATGGTAGAGAATTGACAATTCTCGAAATTAAGATTTTCATTCATCACAACTGGTACTTGTGTTTTTGGCTGTTTTGAACTAATGGTAATGCTTCCTAAACAATATATGTGCGTTGAAGCTTTCTGTTATTTCAGTGTTTAATAAATGGATTATGCTGAGTGAGGGCTTTACATGGATTTTACTGCTCAATCCTCACAGCAATCCCAGAATAGATTAAGATCATCACCATTACAACCAACATATGAGAAAGCAAAGCCTCAGGAAGGTCATAGGCCACGCATCAGA